AAGACCCTCAAGGGAATAAACCAAAGATGAAAAGTTTTTTTTATTTTAAAAAATCCTGATTTTAAAAAATCAAGTTTTTTCCTTCACTTAATCTTCACTTAAACATGGCCAGCTGATCACAAATGAGGAAAACAGCTTATCAGATTACACTGATTGGGATGGAAAGGGACAAGGGGACTCAGGCCTGTGTTTTGTCTTTTAACACAAGGAGGACATGCAAACAAAATTAGAATGAGGAGAAGCATGGGGAAATGTCCATACTTTCTCTAGCTGTTTCCAAGAACTTTGAGTTTGAATGATCTGACTGAGGTCCAGAGCTTGTTTTGAATGCTGTTGCTTAGTCTTGGCACATTTGAAGTAATAGCAGTAACACAGAATAATGAACAGTGCCTCTGAGCATATGGAGAGTTCCTTTCCAGCACTACAGAATAACCATAGCTCAGTGTCCTAATTGCAAGGAGAGAGTAGGTGTATGCATTTGGACACCAGTACAATTTCTGCTGCTTTCTGGTGTAACTGCCTACCCTTCCATTTGATTCAAGAGTTGGGGTGGGGTATTCTTTTGAGGATATGGCTTTTTACTTCCAACCTGGTTTCTGAGCTACCAGGAACACTTGCCTGAGCCCTGTAATCATACAATATGGGACAGAATCCAGTCAGTTTAGGATGTTTCTATGATCCACAGTGTCTGTTTAGATTGTACGTGAAAGAATTAACCCTGCTCCACTCAAAGTTTTGCTGTAAACCCTTGGACACTCAAGGGGGGGGGTTCTGGCAGTGGGCATGGGTTAGCTAAAACTAGAAGTAGTAATTGGAGATAATGGTTGGAAATTTCAATAAGATCCTTCTACTCCACCCCCTGCCCCAGTTATTTTATCACTGACACACCTCACATTTGGGAATGAGAGGGCTTTGGTTCCGTATGAGAAGACACAACTGGCTTCTAAGCAACCTTCAGTGCTAGCATTGCTCTTTTTATAAATTAGCCAAAGTCACAAAGGAGCCTGGAACAGAGCAAGAAGTTCTCCTATTTTTATTCCATCGCTGTGCTATGATCTGACCTTGTACTCATTTATTTCTCTCGCTCTCACAGGGAAATTCATTGGAATTGATCAATACCAAAGCTCTGAAAGCACCAGGCATGAGGAGACTTTTGAGTCTGGCTGGTCAGATGACTTAGACCAGACTGACGAGGAGGAGAAAAGATTTTGCTCCCTTCTGGAGCAACTTGATGCATCTCAGGTCTTTGAAGAGTAAGTTGGAACTTTCTACTCTATTTTTGTTCTTAACTTACCTTATCAAAATGCTTATATCCTGTCTTATATTTAAAGATGTCAGGGTAGAGTTTAATAAAATGAACTCAGACAATTTCTAATAGTGTAAATAATTTAAACTGGCTAAAGACATAGTAAATGTTTTAGCAAGTCAAAAGAAGTAAAAAATAACTAAAAATAACATCAAGCACAGGTGTGGATTTTAAGAAAATCAATAAAACTCTGAAGGCTTTAGAAAAAAAGTTGTGTCTTTACTTGGTGCTGGAATGACAGCACCATCGATGCCAGTCCTCAAAGGAAGGAATGTTTCACAATGGTGGTGTGTGTGTGTGTGTGTGTGTGTGTGTGAAGAGAAAGTCCTCTCCCATGTCCTCCTAGTTTATTGCCCCAAATAACAGGACACAGAGGCAGTTGCCTCCAGCAACTCTTACACCTTGGCAGGGAGAAATGTTCCTTCAGATATCAAGATCCCAACATTTAGGGATTTGAAATAATCACCTGCACCTTGAAGTATATTGACTGCCAGTGCAGTTTATTTAAAACCACTGTTGTATGGTTTTTTGTGTGGCATTCCAGTTAGCAGTTCAGCTGTTGCATTTTGCACTAGCTGCAGCTTCTGAAGCATCTTCAATGGCAGTTCAACATAGATTGCATTGCTGTAGTCTAATTGGGAAGATACTAGTGCATGGACTACTGTGGCTAAACTGTCCCTGTCAGGAAAGGGCTGTATGGGGGATAAGTCAAAGCTGGCCTCAAGCACTCTGAGCGTCTAGGATTCCAATGGCAGAGATGGATCTGAAAGTAATCCCACATTATGCACCTTCTCTCTCAGAAGGAGAACAGTCTCATCCAGGGTAGATTGCTTACCCAATTCCTGGCCCCAAGAACCACCAATGCACAGAGCTTCCTCAAATACAGTGATGCTCACTGTAACTATCTTTAGGGATGTAATGTTCAAAAGCATTGCCACAGCATTTTATATTATGGCCTGTTGGTTAAAAACCTTGAATGATATTTCCAGGATCTGTCCCACATCTGTTGCTCTGGATGTTTTGGACTTCGGTATCCAGATGCCTCAGGCACCAGGGTCAGTGGTAAGAGACTATGGGAGCTGCAGTCCAAAACATTTAGAGGCCAGAGGTTTTCGACCTCTGGGGTTGCCGTCCACAACATCTTTCCTCCTGCAACAAATTATCAGTTTAGGTAGCTAATTAGTGATTCTGTGTGTAGATTCAAACAAGACTGGTGGTGATTTTGGCATGGAAGAGAAGGCATTTGGGATGTCAACATGAGGATCAACATGAGGATAGAAACTTTGCAACACTTGCCTCTTATGGTGAACCTTGAGTTTAAAGAGGCACATTGTGTACTTCAAGACCTTGGACTAATCATATCACCTTTTTTGCTTTTGTTTTCCTCACAGGGTGGATGGGTGAGGGCTAGGAGGATTACTGATAAGAACTAATAGTTATAAAGCACATTAAGCTTTTAGATTCCATTTCTGAGAACCAGAAAACTTTTCTGTTTGTCTTTGCTCCAGTCAGAGTGAGGTCCAGGAGCTTTGGACTCGACTCCGGAAAGAACAACCAGAGCTCTTGGCCAGTTTTGAAGAATTTCTCTTCCGCATTTCCTCATACTTGAGGGATGTACAACAGGAGAAGGAGTCTGTGGAGCTGGCATTAAAACGGTAGGACATGGGCAGGTTGCAGGTGTCACTTTGTTGTAGAAAGAATGCAGAAGAACTCAGGTCACCAGGGTGAAGACAGTTGGTTGCCTGAAGCAATGGACCAAAATATTTTTCAGAAAATCTTATCTCTGTGTAATGGCTAGCTGAACTTTTTGCTTATTACCAAGGCCAAGTTAAGGTGGTTGGGGCCCTGGAGCAATTCCAGGATCCCCTTTGCCCACATTTGCAAATTCCCTTTTCACTCCCAAGATGGAAGTGGCTATTCAGGGTATCCCCTCCAACAACCTGATCCCAGCTAGTAACACCAGAACCAGAGGCTTAAAAGCAGAGATACCAGTTGCCTTTTCACTCAATCCACATCTTGAAAAAAATGTTGTTAGAGTGGATGGTAAACAGACTGCCTGTAGCTGGTGAGGATGCAGAGAGAGATAACAGAGATCTCAAGAGAGATGTACAGCCCTCCTCCTCCCACTGGAACTTTTCTCCCTTGACTGCATCACAGAACAAGAAGTTTGTGAAAAGTGTTACAACACATCTCACATTTGCTGTTATGTGCCTCCAAGTCATTGTTGACTTATGGCAGTCCTTAGGGGAACCTATCATAGGGTTTTCTTGCCAAGTTTCTTTAGAGGGGCTTGCCATGCCATCCTCTGAGGCTGAGAGAGTGTGACTTGCTCAAGGTAATCCAGTGGTTTTTTACGCTCAAGTGAGGATTTGAAGTGTGGTCTCCAGAATCGTAGTCCAACACTCAGACCACTACATCATGCTAGCCCTCACATTAGCTGGGGGAATTCCTTTTGGATCTAGAGAGGGAGAGATTTTCTCTCTCTTCCTCTTCCTTCTTTATCTTTTCTCTTTGTAAACACAGGCCAAGATTTAGCTAAGTCAGACTGCTCACACAGTGGGTCATAGTACAAGTGGTTTGACACTTTCACTGTTTGCACACCCAGGCATTCAGGATCTCAATGCAAAATGGGAAGTTACATCTTCCAGGTGGTAATTCCTTGTTTAAAACACTTCACTGGTGTTCAGTGAGATTTTGGTCATATCTCCCACACCTTGTTGTTCTTATTTTGTGTTTCTAGGCGGGAGACAGACCATGACAGAGAAATTCGATGCCTCTATGAAGAAATGGAGCAGCAAATTAAGGCAGAAAAGGAACGACTGCTCTGCCAGGTAAACTCCCTCTCCACCTTTTGGACTAGAGCTCCTGAGCTGCAGGCTGCTTGCCCACATGTTGGATCACTATTGCAGTTTTTGCAAAAGCACCAGGGACTTAATTTTGTGGAGGTCACTGGAAGGAATTAAAAGTAAAACCTATTATCTAATCGTTGCAGGAATCCACAAGGCAGGACAAGAGCAGCCTGCTTCAGAAGGAGCTGCAAAACAAAGAACAAGAATTTGAAAAAATGCTCTATCGTCAGAAAAAGGTAGCATTTTGGTCTATGTCCCCCTTGATTTTTGCCACATGGATTTGCTCTTAATTGAAGTAGGAAGGGGTGCTTGTTGCAACACTCTTGCTTGAGTCCTAAACAGGAAAGGAATCCTCAATTTCTGTGTGTGCTCAGTAAATATAGGGTGCACTGGCATCCCATCCCATGTGCATCATAATGCCAATCTAGTAGATTCCCCCATTGAAGTGGCTGGCTGTGTCATTTTGGTGCCAGAAGGGATGCTCATTATTATTCCAAGTCACTCATTCCTTGCACAGGGCTGGAACTGGATTAGGGCCCAGGTGTCTTGAGGCACAGATTGCAAAATAGGAAGAAACCTGTTGTCAAAGGAAGATTTGCTTTAAATAAACCCAGTTGCTGCAGTTTTTTTTTTCTGAGGTACTTATTCTTCACCATATTTGATCCACCAGAGGCATTTGATTCCATCAGGTACTTATTTGTTGTGGTTGTGTGCCTTCAAGAAATTTCCGACCTATAACAACTCTAAGATGTTATATTGACAAGATTTGTTCAAAGGAGGTTTGTCATTGGCTTTCCCTGAGGCTGAGAGCATGCAACTTGCCCAAGGTCACCCAGTGGGTTTCATGGCTGAGCTGGGAATCAAACCCTGGTCTCCAGAATTGTAGTCCAACACTCAAACCACTATGCCATGCTGGTCCCTAGGTACTTATACACCATCTATAACCTTTCCCTTTAAGGGCCGAGGGACTTCAGCTCCCAGAAGCCTCAGCCATGTTGGCCAATAGTCCCATGTTGGCCAATAGCGCCTGGGATTCTGGGAGCTGAAGTCCCTCGGCCTTTAAAGGGGAAAGGTTGCCTATCCCTGCTCTATACTTTGGGATTCTTTCTGTATCATTACAGTCACTATCATTTCATTGCATGCTGTCTTAATGTGGGGAATGTGAAAGCTTTGTTTGTAGTGTTTGTTGTGACCAGCTGTTTTCCTCATGAAAATAATCATGGAATGTTGAGGTCCTCAAGTGATGAGTGTCTCATGTGTGAGCTACACCTTATTCATAAAGTCCTTGAACAAAGGATGATCAGTTACCCTCCACACATACCCAATATAAGCAACCAGAGGAACTAGTTGCCTACCCTGTCTCAAGGAAATGTTGCCCTGAAGTGTTGATAGTGGGGAAACAATTCCCCCCCCCCAAGAGTTTCCTTTCCCCAGCTGTGGAGTTGTCCTTGTTTCTTCTTCATAACTCTCATTCTTGTCTGACTTAAGCAGTACTGAGAACATCCTTAGTATCACACTTGACACCTCTCTATAAAACTTTGCCCCAACAGCCTCCTTATAAAATTCCCATCAGAGTGCTCAAAGGTACTGCCTTGTGCCAGGTGGCATCCAGGAATTAGCCTTTATATGTAAGACTTAGGTAAGCTCCTTTTGCAAAAAGCCTGCCATCTTCCTTTAACTTCCTGGATCACAGCTGTGGTAGGATTCCAACACCATTCATGTTTTAACTCCAGCCAGGAAGATCCATCTGCGCAGAAAGGCCATCTGTTCTGTTTACACATGTCGTTATTGCATGATTACATCCTCTTGAAGGAATGCAGTAGAGAGATAAAGCCATGTTGTTTTTATTACCAGAGCTGTTAAGATCATTTCTGTGTCAGTAATTGCCCTGGGCTGTTTAAAAGCCCTAAAGGGGGATTGTGTTCAGGTGAAACAGCAGGGAAGGAAGTTAAGTATTCTAGGATGAGAGCTTTCTCAGTTCATTTCATGATTGGGTCCTTCTGGTACTCTTTAGCCCTTTTCTGTCTTAATTAGAAGAATAAAAAGACCCCGTGAGCCCTGTTTATTAATTTTATTATTTTTAAATTTTATATCCTGTCTTCTTCCCTGTACGCTATCCAGGGTGGCTGATACTAGTGACACCCTAAGGGGGGAGCAACACCAGTGCTCCTCAAAAATATGCCTTTTGACAGAAACATGCTGTGGTTTTTGATTATGTTCCTTTGAAACTCTGGACCTTAGCAAAAGAGATGGTATGAACGGGGCAAGGTTCAGTGGGAAGAGAAAGGAAAGGCCTCCTTATTTTTTTATAACATCTTATCATTTTTTCACCTTAACCACATGAAATTATGTACATGTAAATGCATTTAACCTGTGTGTATGACACTGTAAATTAAAGGTATAACTTTAATTTTACAAGTTGTTTGTGTCTCAACCTTTACTGTTACATTCAGTGATATATAGGAATTAGGATTTATAACATTAATACATTAAACATTTGGGATGCAGTGGCTCAAGTGGTTAAGACGCTGACTTTGTTGATTGCAAAATTGGCAGATTGGCAGTTCGAGGCCCGGGTGCTGCATGATGGGGTGAGCTCCCATTACTAGTCCCAGCTTCTGCCAACCTAGCAGTTCAAAAGCATGCAAATGCAAGTAGATAAATAGGTACCACTTCGGTGGGAAGGTAATTAGCGTTCTGTGCAATCATGCTGACCACATGACCACTAGATTCGTCTTCAGACGCTAGCTCTTTGGCTTAGTAATGGAGATGAGCACTGCCCCCTACAGTTGGACACAACTTGACAGCCTTGTCAACAGGGAATACCTTTACCTTTTTACCTTTACAATAGACATTAGTAAGGATTCTGCATGGTGTGATACAGGAGTAGGTCCATGGGGGGTGACAACATGAGTTACAACACCAGGTGATACCAAACCTAGTGATGCCTCTGGTGCCCTGCTTCATAAAAAGAAACGTTAGCAAAAAACGTTTAATAGCCAAATACATGTTGGTCCATTGGATTTAAATGGGACCCAGGCAACCTGTTCTATAATATACAGGGAGTGGGGATCCAGTGTTCTCCAAATGTTCCTGGACTGTAGTTCCCATAACTGATAATTGTCTATGCTAACTGGGGCTGATGGGAGTTGTAGTCTAATCATGCCTGAAAGGCCATCAGTTCCCTACCATGTGTCTAAAATGCACATTCAAAAGTAACCTAGTTTTGAAATGGGTGGGGTTTGTACTGTGCCTTCCTGTAGTTCCCTGACCTTGGTCTTTTTAACCGGGCTCATGCTCACATGCCATAGAGAGACTGTGATGCACAGGGATGCTTGAGTAATTATAACAGACCAGGGGATATTAGTCACAGCACGTTATTAATATATTTAAATGTGCATGCTAGCAATGTATTAAATTCATATGTAATGGTATATGTTTGTTTTTTCATCTCATTGTACCACTGTTTTATTTAAATATTTTACATTAATTTTATACACACAGACACAAAGCCACCCACATAGCATGAAGCTGCTTTCAATCTGTCCTTCTAATACTTGGGGGGGGGGTTATTTCTGTTTGTTTTTTCTCAGCTGGAACTTCAGTTACAATCCCAGAACTCTGAGCATCTGGAGATGAGAGTGCAAAACGAGAGGCTACAGATTCTGAACGAAAACCTCCTGGACCAGCTGGAGAGAAGCAAGTGGGAACTGGAGGTAGCCCAAGGTCACCTTCAACAGCTACAGAAAGAAGCCCAGCTAGAGCAGGAGCAGAAGAACAGGCATGTCAGGGTGGGCTTCTAGACTGTACAGTCAAAGGTGCCAGCTATTCTCACAAGAGAGGGCTGGTTTGCTTCAGGGACTTAGTGAGTGTGCATTTATTGAAATGTGAAAAGTAACAGCAGTGGCCTGTAGTTGCTGTGGATTAATATGAACTGTAAGCCCAAACATCTTCCATCAGCTTCCAAGAGGACCTGAGTTAAAACCTTTGAAAATGCATATTGTTTTCTTTCCTCTGCCTCAAAACGTCTACAGTCTCAGAGGCCACTTAGAGAGTAATAAGTTTCCTTTCCTTCACTTGAACTAGTAATAAAAATCCTTCCCAGTTACATTGGGGGGGGGGGGTGAGGAGAACCACAGTGAAGTCATTGACTTGGATAGCAAGTACTAGAGTACTTTAATTTAAAAACTCTTTATTGTCAAAACCCATGGGCCGTAACAGTCTTGGAGCTAAACAAAGGTGCACATGCCAAGCACTATCGTCTCAACGATCAATCATGTTAATGTTCTGAAACTCATGACATCATTGAAATTAGTCACTGCTGCAAATCAAGCAATCATTTTTTAGTTTCCAAGAGAGTATACAATCTATTTGCTAGTTCTGAACAGGCCAAAAATTGGCCTGAGTGATAAACTGGTTAAAAATTTAGGTCTACTATCCTGCAAAACAACAATATCCCACTAGGTAGTGAGGGAGATCTCCCTGCAACATTTAATACAGATGCAAAAATTACTACACACAGTGTAAAAATATGGCTTTGGCAATACTTATCACACATTGCCATTTTTGACCCGTAACTGCTCTGTCCCCAACCTGTAGCTGCTGCATCCCCTTTCATTGATGGGGGAAACCTGTCAATGACGTCCCAATTGCACAAGTCCCCATGTTTGAAATGTTGCTGCTGGAGCAGTTGTGAGATTGGCAGTCATACAGCCATCCTCAAATGATATAGCACCAGCTGCAAGCTCCCCCACTAGAAGAGGATGAGAATGTGTGGTATCAAAGCCTACCCTCTCTTCCATCCAAGGAAGAGGAGGATGCAGCAGAGTTCTGAACTTGGGATCTCTGGCCTTTGCGTACAAAACAAGTATGCATTGAAAACCATGTTTACTGATTCTAGATGAGGGAGAGAATGCAGTTATTCATGAGTATGGGGGAAATGTTTTGCATATGGAAAGAGGCACTCAAAATTTTTCTTATGAAGAATTCTTCATTCTTGATTCACCAACAGATCTTTGTAAACTTCTCCTTTCATTGGAATGAGCTTAGCATTATTCACCTTTTTGAATCTTACCAGAAAAACAGTTGATGACCTTTGAAGAATGAATGAACAATATACATATGGTGGGGGTAGAAGAAGATACAAACAGATTAGTGACAAAATTTTAATTGAACACATTATTGGATTCCTGTTTAGGACATCCCTTTAGAAGTACTTTCGCTAACTTTATGTTTTCATTGCATTGCACTACAAATCCCCCTATGCAGTGCATCTGGTAAGTGGCTGGCTGAGGAAGGCCACATAAAAGGGACAAAAATAACACAGTTGAAGGAGTCAGTAACAAAATTTGCCACAAGAAGGTATCAGTGACAACTGGATATCCCATCCTTTATAAATCACATAGTTTCTTTTTGAAAACCCTAGCAATTTTATTTAATAGACTAATTAACAATAGCACATTGAATTACTTTACATTCCTTCCAATGTTGACAATAAATTAATTGCCCAAGTTTTAGCTATCGAAGTTAATGAATTATTTTTAAAAAAAACCTAACATTCCATGCTCTATATAAAAGTAAGCAAATAGTTACACTGCAAAAGAAATGAGGTTATATTTTTAAAGTTACAATCATAGGACCTTATCCCACGCTGCTCTCAAAAGTGGCAAGAAAGCGATATGAGCATCATTGCAGTACTATAGCGCTAGTATAAATATGGCGCTAGCGCTATAATAGCGCTATGGATAAGCTAGCGCTATTGCAATGCCCGCTGAAACCGACATTCAAAAGAACCCGAATGATGCTGCATTCCGAGCGGTTTCTTGTTGGATTCTGAGCGACGTCGTGTAATCACCCAGAAAACTATAGTGCTATAGCGCCTGATTCTTAGCGGATTCTGAGCGACGTCGTGTGATCACCCGGAAAACTATAGCACTATAGCGCCTGATTCTTAGCCGATTCTGAGCGACGTCGTGTGATCACCCGGGAATGTATAGCGCTATAGCGCCTGATTCTTAGTGGATTCTTGCTGCTTTTGGCCCCGTGGGATAAGGTCCATAATGTAATTTAGCTGTAGCTTAGTTATTGAGGAAATGAACCAATAATTACAAGTAACTAGTTCCCAAGAGCTATAAAAAGGGTGAGTTGCTTTGAAACTGGAGATTTCTCTTAGAGAATATGGATCTAGATGACACAGAGAGAGGTGGACGTGTACTCTCAATGGTTTACATCAGCATCTCATTGAGAACCTGGATCAGTGTGCTCTTAACAGTGTACAGTGTACATTTATTTAGCCTAGCCTCCATATCCAGTTGTTGCCAGCAGGTTTGGGACTTTGGGCATATTATTAATGCTTGCAAAAGACAAAACTTGTGATCATTAATTCACAGAGAGTCCTTTTTTGCCTTTAACACAGGGATGTATTTAGAGTCTCTAAAAATATGCAGAAAGAAAAACAAAGCCTCCTGCGACAACTGGAACTTCTTAGGTAAGAAGACCATTTTGAAAGACTCTAAGACTTGTTCATTTGTTTAGTGAATTATATTGTGCTTTGGAATAATGAGACTGGATATTATACCACTTTGGGAAACAATGGGTATGACAATTGATAGATAGTGAGGGCTCAATTATGGATCATTCGACACTTTAGGAAAGGAAAGGAAAGGAAGGGCAGAATGATGGGATGTATGAAGGAATCATTAGAGGATAGGTTTAATGAGAAAAAACACAGGGAAAATGGATATTTTCCTGACTGGCTGAGGGATTCTGGGACGTCTAGCCCAAAAATGCTTTCTAAGCTCTCTTTGAGGTCATAGTGCTGCCAGAGTACTGTCTGAATATGACTTCTGAGGTTGTGCAAGAAGTAGTCTCTCACTTTCTTGCTTTCTGAGGTCTCCAAGATTTGTGAATTGCCCACCATAGGTTGGGATGTAAATAAGAGACAAATAAGCCAGTGTGGTGTAGTGGTTTGACCGTCAGACTACAACTTTGAAGGCCAGAGTTCAAATCCCTCCTTGGCTATGAAAACCCACTGGGTGACCTTGGGCAAGTCACACACTCTCAGCCTCAGAAGGCAAAGACATACCCACTCTGAACAAATCTTGCCAACAAAATTCCATGATAGGTTAGCCTAGAGTAGTCATAAACAGGAAACAACTTGAAAGCACACAACAACAAAACAAGAGACAATAATCTGCATTGTGTTTAGAGTAACCATCACACCTTATTTATATGTGCCTCCTTTTCCTTTGGGGCAGGGAGATGAACAAGAAGCTGAGAGATGAAAGGGATGCCTTTGAAGCCAAGAAGCTGGTTAGTCTAAGAAAGAAAATCCTAATCCCCGGTCACCTTCCCTTTGCCTGCTGTTGCTGCTGCCATCACCTGGCCTCATTCCATTTCCATGGGGGCCACTGACCCAGGGGATTGTGTGTTTCATAGTTCCTCCATATGGACCTTTGTGTGTATCTGTGTATATATTTTTGAATGTCAAAAAACCTGCGTGTTTAAACCCAGGTAATTACAAAGGGCTAATAGGGTCCACCTACTTCTGATGACTGGACAGGAAAGAGGTGTTCCTTGGACCCCAAGAGAAGAAAGACTCTTTTGCACAGTTTAAGCCTTTGGCATAAAAACTGACAATCAGAAGAAGTATTGCAGAATCTTCATCCTTAAAGCTGAATCATCAACTGTCCATCCCAAGGAATTCCAGTACTCTAGCCCAACAGAAACTCATCTTTCCTGGGGCTATGCCTCACATTGGTCTCTACCATGTATTATCACCTGTGGTTCTTCTGCTACATAAGCTTGTGGCCAGAGATGGCCCTATCCTTGGGTAGAATGAGATGGCGGTCTCAAGTGGTAGGGGTAGGCAGTGACAGCATATGTTGTATGAGAGGCCCTAAACGCTTTCAGTTAGTTTCCTGTCTTCAGGTGCAATGTCTTTTTACTGGTGTTGAAGTAAGAAAGATTCAGCCACCTGTTTGGTTGGGCTTTATATGCCAAATGGGAGAAGTTGCCATCTTATCCTGTGGTTAGGCAGCAAAATGGTTTAGGCTGGTCCTGCTTGTAGCTGTGCCTTTCCAGGTTCCCATTGTCATGCAACTCATAATTAAGAATCTGAAAATGCTGTTGTTGTTGTTTTGATCCCTTTTGTACCTTCTCCTACGGTGGGATTTTCCTCCCCATAGCAACCTGTGTGTATGTGTGTCCTGCGTGGGTGCAGCTGTGAAATGTAATGTTTCTGGGATGTATTGCACAGTAGATTCTAACATAGACATATCAAAAATGTGAAGATGAGCCAAAAGAAGATACCTGTGCTTCCACTAAATGATTTTCCTCTTGCTACTGATGATGCTGCTGACAAGCAAAAGTCAGGAATAAAATATAAAGAGGAAATAATATTCTTGATCCACAACTCTTACCACTTATTTTATGCAAGCACGTGTTGCAGGGATCTTTTGGGAAACTTGAATGGAGATTTATAGAAGCTGCTAAGTAAACATTTTGTGTGTGAGAGTGATAGAGAAAGAAGAGGGGGATGTTCCCATTGTAATGTTGTTTTTAATATGTGATCATGTCATTTTGTAATTTGTGTGTTTGAATTTACCACCACTCTCCTTTGTGGTTATCACAAAGGTAGACAGATAAGAAAGATCTCAGGGCTGCCTCTGCCATATTCTTGATCCCCTGAGACTTTTGTTAGCTGCATTCAGGTATTTTACAGCACCCAGAAGATAACCTCTATTTTTATTTTTTTAATTGCCATCTTGAATCACTTTGGGCAGGAGCAAGAGAGAAATTAAATGAAGAGTAGTAACTTTTGGAGTCTGTAGGAGGCATAATTCTCCATACTGAGGAAAAATGGCAATGGTATGAGGGCACCCTAATCTCCCTCTGATCTCATATGGCCCAAGAGCTATACCATTTCTGTTTCCGAGTTACAAAAGCTGTGATTTCATTTCTAGACTGGGGTGGGGTGGGAGATGTATGTGCCGGTATGACTTCCCCAGTGTATGTACTGCATGCAGTCTTCTCTTCTGCATTTGGAATGTTCCTTGGTGAACTCAATCCTCAAAGGTAATAGCAAACTGTCCATTCGTAGCTGCTGCCATAGAATTAATTCCATTTTTGGTCCTATGAAACAGATGTGGTTCCCCACCCCTATCTATTAGAGAGAGGGATTTTGGGTCCTTGACACTTGTCAGCTAAATCTGGATTCTGTCTGGGGTCCCATTATCAACTTCTGGTCACCTGAGTACCCAACTCGTGATGGTGGTTAAACCAGATAAACTGAATTAATGTCACTCCAGCATTCTTAAATATTGGAATTTCAGGATATATATATATGACAATTGAACAGGCCCTTGTGGTACTCTTTTCAGCTATTTATTAAAAGTATTCATAGCTATATAAACAAATACATTCACCTTAGGGGAAAATGTAGGCATAGCAATGTCTGGACACTTAACTTCATACATTACATTGAATTGCTTATAAGGCATCACATCATATTATCTGGCCATCAAGATGTTATACTTTCATCAGAACATTTTATAGGGACTTTACCTCTCTATTCATCACTTTAACAGGCTTTTTCTAGTTAACACACACGTTAATTATACCATCAAGACTATATGCTTCAGTTATTCCTCATTATCAGATTCTTTCCATAATTTCTATGGTGTCTGTGCAGACATTATACAGATATTTTATAAAGGCTTTCACATGCACACAATCCTGTCGCTTATATCATTCTGTAGTCATAATCCTCTAAATGATAAATTTAGTCACTTGCGCATGACAGAATGCAATCTCATCTGTTCACATGCAAGGGTTAATCTCCTTGAGCATCTCCTTGAGCATCCGCTACAATAAATATGTTCACTGGTACCCAAGCATAATGGGGCATATTTCTATTTTAGCATTAGCCTTATCAGTATCACAGCCTGTTTGGGTAGCATGTCCAGGTCAATTATAAGACTATCAAATTATCAGGAACAGCATATCTAGAAAGAGACATTGTTGCCTTCTCTTGAGACTTTGGAGATATAGCTGAAGGTAGTCTGATAAGAACTCTATCTGAACTTCTTTTTATTCTTTCCTTGTGTTTATCAGCTGGCCAATGAAAATGACTCAGAAATCAAGTGTTTACTAACTCTTCTCCTACTGAAATTGAGATTTTTAATTTAGGACATAGGCATTTTCCTTGTTCCTCCCAGAGTGATATGAAAGATGAAGCCAGTTTTTTGCTGACACACGTTCTCTCAGCTCTTAACATTAAATCTTATGCCCTATTTTACTCTCTATGGCATATTAAGTTAATTTCTATACTTTTACAGTTATATGCTCAGGGCACAAAGTTGACAACTAAATAATCTGGCCTGTAACACGTATCTAGAGCAGGCCCACTGAAATGAATCCAACCTAAGACAGCTGAGACTGACAAGTCCAATTCATTTCATAGAGTCTACTATAGGTAGCTCTGAATCTGGTGATATTAAGCCAAAGCATGTCCAGACTAGGGACTGATACAATCACACACCTGTGAGCATCATTACAATAACTCCAAATATGGATATCCATGAACTTTTCAATTTCTTCCACTCATTGTCTTTGTACGCTGATTCAACTGGAAAGTGTTAGGTTGGAATGGGCCAAAGACAATGCAAGCGGAACCATTTCTTGGAGGTTTCTGGGAATAATCCTGTATCTGATTTCCTTTTCCATTGTCCTCCAGTGTTAGGCCAGATCCTGCTTACATTTTGTGAAATGCCCACAGCATATAAAGTTAAGATGAAGACATTTTTGGCAAGAGACAAGGTCACTCTTTCTAATACAGTCTGCTCACCTCGACTGTGGGTTTGCTATCTGTGGATTTGAGCATCTATAGATGGCCCCACCCCATTCACTCCAGTGGTGGCACATACACGTAGCTGTGCTGTCATTGCCTCATGCATGGTATGTCACCATTAAAACCAATGGGACTTGAGGTCCTGTGGATTTTGGCATCCATGGGGCATAATAGAACCCCCATGGATATGATGGGCCAACTCTAGTCAAATGACTATATGTTATGATGGTGGCATTCTGAAATAAATCCAACTTTAAACCTCAGAGTAGGATCAGTGGGCCTTTTAGTAACACAACCAGCTTACATCCCATTGATTTTGCATCTACTTCATTTTACTTTCGGAAGAATTCTGGCTGGACTTAGAGCCTGAACAGACTGCCAGAAATAATCCAGTTTGAGAGCACTTTAACTGCCCTAGCTCAGTGCTAGGGAATCATGGGAACTGTAGTTTATTGTTGCACAAGAGCTCCCTGACAGAGAAGGCTCAATGTCTCAGAAGAACTACAATTCCCATAAGCCAGTCTGGTATTGAAGTCATAGTCCTCCGGGAGCAGTCTTTCCGAAAAGTAAAGATGTACAAATGAAGGTGACAGTGAATGGAAAGTCATCCTGCCGCAGTCTAAGCAACCTACATCTGATGGACTGGGCAGAAGGAAAAGAGGGAGACAGAAAGCAGCTTTAGTTCTTATAATTGTCTTTTAATGGAACAAAAAAGTAGCCATTACATGTTCATTATATGAACATTTAAAACTTTAAAAGCATTCAGAAAGGATAATTTTTAAATGTTCATATAACCATTGTGGAGATGCACAAAATATGATACGGTTTCAAAATGGTATAACAAGACTGTTCTTGCATATGAATGGATTACAAAGATGAGTTAGGAAATCAATGACTCTTGAACTAAAATGGTCAATCTCTGTCTAATGGGAGATCTCAAAAGCTTGTTACTGTTCACATTTTTTAAAAAACCACAGCTATCTCCTTATGCATACACTCATGGTGTACCAATTATAGCTATACTGGAGGGAATGAAAATAAGTACGGTAAATCATGCTCTGATTTTTTTCAATAGGAAAAGTGGGTTGCATCCAGTTACTATCAACATATGTGCCTTTACAGACTGCTGGAAATAATGCAGCTTGAGTCCACTTTAACTGCCCTGACTCAG